TACAATATACTTACTAAAGTATACTTACTGAAATTATAACAATATACTTACTAAAGGGAGGAAAAGACATGTTTCTAAAGTAGTTTAAATTTTGTCTTTGTGTGTGTGTTTGTGTGTTTGTGTATGTGTGTGTGTGTGTGCGTGTGCGCATGCGCTTGCCAGGGATCCAACCCAGGGGCCTTACCCTTCCAAAGCATATGCTCTATACCATTTCTGTTGTATTTTTGGGGCCACGTGGTGATACTCAGGAGTTATTGCTGGCTCTGCACTCAGGAATTATTCCTGGTGGTGCTCGGGGCACCATATGGGATGCCAGGGATGGAATCCTGGTCAGCCTCATGCAAGGCAAACGCCCTATCTGCTGTACTGTCTCTCCGGCCCTGCTGTTTTGCATTGAGCTACATCCCCGCCACCTAAATATTGTTTTTGAATATTTGGAGGAGTCCAGTCCCTACCCCATACTAACAGAAAATAAATCTATATATCTTGAACCTTTTTAGGGGTGTGGAGGGGGAAGAGTACAGCATAAGTGGTACCTAGGAGCTATTCCCAGGGTCACTCAGGGGGTCATTTCTTCCTGTTCAGGGGACCATTTGGTACTAGGGATTGAACCTGGGGCTCCCTCATGCAGAGCCTGAGGCCTGTTGAACCATCTCAGCCTCTTGATATTGTCTCCTGGTTACCTTGCAAATGATATGGAATGTGTTACATAATTCAGTCATCAATCTGATAATTCTTTAAAATTTGTGTTTTCCATGTGGAGATAGTATAGCAGGTATGACCAACCCGGGCTCCGTCCCTGACACTTCATGGGGTCCACCGAGCCCTGCCAAGAGTGATCTGTGAATGCAGAGCCAGAAGTAGGCCCTGAGCACTGCCGAGTGTGCCCATGGACCTCCCCCTGCCGCAAAACGGGAAAAAAAAAGTCTTGTCTTTTTTTTTTTTTTTTGCTTTTTGGGTCACACCCGGCAATGCACAGGGGTTACTCCTGACTCTGTGCTCAGGAATTACCCCTGGCGGTGCTCAGGGGACCATATGGGATGCTGGGGCAAACATCCTACCCGCTGTGCTATTGCTCCAGCCCCCAGTCTTGTCTTTTTCTATTTATTGATTAATTAACTGATGGAAGGGAAGGTTGGGGTCATATCCGGTGGGATTACTCCTATCTCTGTATTCGGGGATCACTGCTAGTAGGGCGCAGGTGCCCAATAGGGATCGAACCTTCGTCAGCAGCATGCAAAGCAAGGTCCTTCTTTCCTGCTGTACCATGACTCCGGCACAATCTGTAATGCTTTTGTTGGTTCATAGCACTGTGACGCTCTGGGTGTGCAGCTTCTCACATCTGTACTTGCATTTGTCTTAGCATACCTGCCTCCTGGTTTCAGTGCTGTCCCACCGAATCTGCCCCCTCCAGCCCACCCCTCCCACCTCTCCTTTTCCCCTCTCCCCCTGGTAGCAACCATAGTTTTTCAGTTATTTTTGTTGCATTTGCCAGTCAATTTGCCTTGGTTATTTATATCCCACTTAATGAGTGAAACCATCTGGCAATTATCTTTTGCTTCCTGACTTAGTTTGCTTAGTGTAATCACCTCAGATTCCGTCCATGTTATCTTAAAAGGTGTTATCTTTTTATTTTTTTAATTTTTAAAATTTTTTTTAAAAAGGGTGTTATCTTTTTTTTTTGAGTTTTGTGTGCTTATATATGTATATATATATATATATTTTATTATTAGTGAAACACCATGAGGTACAGTTGTAGATTTACAAATTTTTGTGCTTGGATCTCGGTCATACCACGATCAAATACCCATCCCTCCACCAGTGCCCATTTTCCACCACCAGGATAATATCCCTCCCCCCCCATCCTCCCATCCCCCCATCCCCCCCTGCCACTGTGGCAGGGCATTCCCTTTTGTTCTCTCTCTCCTCCTGGGTGTTGTGATCAGCAAAAGAGGCATTGAGTGGCGAACATGTTCAGTCCAGTCTACTTTCAACCTGCATCTCCCCTCCTGGGAGGATCCTCCAAAAAGGGTGTTATCTTAAAAGGCACAACTTTGTCTTTTTTAATAACTAAGTATTCCAGTGAGTATATGCAACTTCTTATTCAGTGATCCATTGAAGGGCAAAAATGTATTTTTTGATATTTATATTGATCATGGAATCAAGGCAAAAAAAAAAGAGATAACTGACTGTAGAATAAGAACTTCTAAATATCCACAGTTAGATTTAATAAACAAAACTTTATAAAGTACCTCGTTTTGATCCACTTCCATTTGGATTTTTTAAATGCATGTTATTTTTACTTTTGTCTGTGCATCCCTAAAGAATATTCTGTATTTTCAGATGTTCTAGAACTTCATGTGCAGCATTTATGTATTGCTGGTAAGAATGTTAAATTCTGGACCAGAGAGGTAGTACAAGGGTTAAGGTCCTGCTGCAGCTGCCCCAATTTGATTCCTGGCTCATGAGCCCACCCCATCAGGAGTAATCCCTGAGCACAGAGCCTGGAGTAAACCCTGAGCACAGCCAGGTGTTGCCCCCTAAACAAAACAAAAGTAATGTTAAATTCTGCATTTATTTATTTGGGGTTTTTTTTTTTTGAGTTACATGAAGCAGTGCTTGGGGGTTATTTCTAGGTCTGAACTTCACTGGGACTCAGGGGACTGTGTGGTGCCAGGGATGGAACCCAGGGTTCCCTCATGCAAAGCATGCACCCTTGGAGCTATATCCCTGGCCTATAAAATCTTTCAAAAACCTGTGACCAGTCTCCCCATCAAAAATTAAACATATAGTTGCCATGTGATTTAGCATTTCTACATAGTCAAAGAGACGTAAAAACATAGCCATAAACACATACACACACACACACATTACTGATATTCATAGCAGCATTGCATTACCCATATTGGCCAAAAAATAAATCCAGATAAGTATCAGCTGCTGAGTAATGAGTAAATAAAATGTTTATTTATCCAATCAACTGTTTAACAACAAGAAAGAAGTGATGTGACTGTGGCTATAAGTGAACTCTGAAAGCTAAACGAAAGTAGTTCTAACAGGGCCATGTATTGTATGCCATAGAGCATGACATCATGTAATATTCTGTTTCTATGAAAAGTCCTATGTCCCTTGGAGACTAATTCAAGAGAAAGTAGATTGTTGGTCTTTCCAAGCTGGGAGTGTGGGGGCGGGAACAGCAATGCTGCGGCTGGGTATGGGCGTCCCTTTTTGTTTTTTGAGCCAAACCTCTGACCAGTCTCCCCATAAGCTCAGGGCTTATTCCTGGTTTTCTGCTCAGACATCACTCCTGGTGTTGCTTTGGGGATCCTATGTGGTGGAGGGGATCAAATTGGAGTTGGCCTCATTGCAGCCCCTATCTCTCTCTCTCTCACTCTTAAATTTAAATTTAAATTTTTTAGAGCATTACAAAGCCATTCATGATTGAATCTTAGTCATACAGTATTCTAACACCTATCCCTCCACCTGAGTACATTTTCCAGCACCAGTATCCTCAGGTTCCCCCCCATCACCTCCCACTCCCCACCCCCTGCCTGCCTCTTTGATAATGCTTTTCTTCTCTCTCTCTCTCTCTCTCTCTCTCTCTCTCTCTCTCTCTCTCTCTCTCTTTCTTTCTCCCTCCCCCCCACCCCCCTCTCCTCCTCCCCTTTTTTTGGGCATTGTGGTTTGCAATATCGATACTGAAAGGTTCCTAGGATTTTTTCTTTTTTTCTTTTTTTGGGTCTCTCTCTCTCTCTCTCTCTCTCTCTCTCTCTCTCTCTCTCTCTCTCTCTTTCTCCCTCCCTCCCTCCCCCCTCTCCTCCTCCCCTTTTTTGGGCATTGTGGTTTGCAATATCGATACTGAAAGGTTCCTAGGATTTTTTTCTTTTTTTCTTTTTTTGGGTCACACCTGGCGATGTACAGGGTGGGATGGGATGCTGGGAATCGCACCCAGGGCGTGCAAGGCAAATGCCCCACCTGCAGTGCTATCGCTCCAGCCCCCTTTGATTTCTTTAGAAGTCTGATTCTCAGTTGAGATGTTGCTCATTGTAGGGCTGCATGGGCCAGTCTCCTGTACTACAGAAATGAAATAAGTTGAAATAAAGTAAGAGATTAATGTAGATAAATTAGTAGTGTTACTTGCCCAACTTTGTGGATGTGGATAGAAACACCGAATTATAGACTCGAATGGGTGAAACATTTTGGTATATGATTTATACTTCAGAAAAGTGTTTAAAATGCTCATGTAAATGTTAAGTATTCTATTAGCCTTTTAAACTTAGCATAAGCCAAAGCGGAAAAAAAAAGCATTTGGACATTTATGCATTTTTTGGTACATTTAGTTTGCTATAATTCACTTTCATATTTCATTGGATGAATTTACTTTATTAATTTTCCTTTTTGCTCATAAAACCAGTACTTTGAGGAACAGTGTAGTCCACATTTCCTTATAACATTTTATAAACTTTCAAATTAGAATATGCCGAGATTATGAATAATTTGTAACTATTTGTATTGCATGGGCTGGAGCGATAGCACAGCGGTAGGGCCTTTGCCTTGTGCACAGCCAGTCCGGCCAAGCCAGGTTCAATTCCTCCACCCCTCTTGGAGAGTCCAGCAAGCTACCGAGAGTATCTTGCCTGCACGGCAAAGCCTGGCAAGCTACCTATGATGTATTCAATATGCCAAACACAGTAACAACAAGTCTCGAAATGGAGACATTTACTGGGCCCGCTCGAGCAAATTGATGAACAACGGGAGGACAGTGATACTGTGATTTGTATTGCATACTTTTATGTTATTTTATTGGTGTGCCTCAGAACATTAATTCATTTAATGAAATAAATTTAAATTAAAATTGTTAAAGGTACTCTTATCTTCTGAAATTTTATCATAGCTCTTATTTTTGGCCAGAGAAAGATAGGGCATCTTAAGTGTCTTTTCTTCTTTCATATTCTAATGTTATATAAGACTAGTCCTAATTTTCGTGTGGTATCTTACAGAAAAAGCTACAAATGAGTATAACACGACAGAAAATTGGAGTCTTATTTTGGACATATGTGACAAAGTTGGAAGTACTCCTAATGGGTAAGTTTCCCAGTTATGCCCAGAGATTGCCTCAGAGAGTAATAATATATCTTTTTTTTCTTGATATAACTTTGAAAAAAAATGGGATATCAATCTTTCCATTTTAGGGATAAAAGTGGAGATATCCTGGTGGCTGTGTTGTGTGATTAACCTTATCCAGTAGAACAAATGGAAAAGGGCTCAAGTGGAAACTTAGATCTACTGAAATACATACTTAAAGCCTGACTAGAATCTGCACACATTGAAGAGTAAATAGACCTGGGAGTTAGACCTGTGTGTTTGCTGTTGTGGGGCCACACCTGGGAACCATGCCTGGGTCTGTCCTCTGCTTGGGGCTGGCATCATAGCTGGGATTCCAGCGTGCAGAGCGTGTGCTCCAGCTCCTGGAAGCTGTAGGCCCCACGTGAGTCTTTTAATAATAGGTGGATCAATACAAATGGCAGGTAGCATCATCATGAGAAAAAGCGGGTTTTAAAAGGCCACAGGGGCTGGGGCAGATAGCTCAGGGGATAAGGGCACAGCACATGCCTGGAATGCACAAGCGACACCCTACACACCACCAGGTGCAGCTCTGGAGAGGCTTGGCACGGCAAGACCTGAGCAGCACCCCTCTCTGTGGGCCCTAGCCTTGAGCCATGTGGTTCTAGTGTAGCTGGCAGTGGCTCCCTGCCCACTCCCAGCCCTGCTTGGGAAGGCCCCCTCAAAAGCTTAAGCTGAATGGTTCATACTTTAGAAGTTTCGAAGACTGATAAGAGCATTGTTTTAATATCACTTTTGAAAGTCCAGCATTCACATGTCTGTTTACTTTTTGTTTCATTTTGTTTTGGGGTCCCACCTGGAGGCACTCAGCACTTACTCCAGGCTCTGAGCTCAGGGAGTAAGGAGGACATTGGGGGACTGTATGGGGTACCAGGGCTTGGACCTGGGACAGCTGCATGCAACGCAAATACCCTACCCCTATGCTATCGCCTCAGCCCCTACTTGATTTTTTTTTTTTTTTAGTCACTGGATTTAAAAGTACTTTCAAGGAGAGAGTCTCATGCATGGGACATTTCAACGAAAGTTTCCCCCATTCCCACTCCAGCCAGTTTCCCCACCGTGGTTAGCTAAGTTCTGTAGCTCTGTTTACAGATTCCGTTGTTTGAGGCCATTTGTTATCCCCTTACTGTGAGAGAGATTGTTCTGTATATGTCTCTCTCCTTCTGGGTGACTGCGCTCAACATGGTAGCTTCCAGTTCCACCTACATAGTGGCAAATTACATGGTTTCGTCTTACAGCCAAGTAGTATTCTGCTGTGTATGTGTACCACAGTTCCTTTATCCGATCATCCGTTCTTGGACACTTGGGTTGTTGTCAGAATCTGGCTATTTTGATTAGTGCTACAATGAACATAGGAGCACATATGTTGTTTCTGAATGGAGTTGTTGGGTTCTTAACAGATGCCCGGAAGTGAAATTACTAGGTCATATGAAAGCTCAGTTCTTAGATTTTTGAGAAGTGTTCATATTGTTTTCCAAAACAATTGGCCCAGGTGACCTTCCCACCAGCTGTGGATGAGGGTGCCATTTCCTCTGTATCTACGCCAACATTGGTTATTTTTGTTCTTTGTGGTGTGTGCCAGCCTCACTGGTGTGAGGTTTTAATTCATGGCTCTGACTTAAAAATTTTGTTTTTCATTTACCTGTTGGTCATTTATATTCATCTCTTCTATGTTTTGGATGGGGTTGATTTTTTTTCTTGCTAAGTTTTTTTTTCTTTTCCTTTTGGGTCATACCCGGTGTTGCACAGGGGTTAGTCCTGGCTCATGCACTCAGGATTTACTCCTGGCGGTGCTCAGGAGACCATATGGGATGCTGGGAATCAAATCTGGGTCAGCCACGTGCAAGATGAGTGATGGGCAAATATTTTTCCCAGACTATAGGGTGTCTTTTAATTAATTTATTTTTTAATTTTTAGTGAATCGCCATGAGATAGAACATCACAAAATTGTTCATGATTGCGTTTCAGTCATATAGTGTTCCAGCGTCCATCCCTTCACCAGTGTAATTTTCCAGCACCAGAGTCACCAGTTTCCCTCCCACCTATTCAAGCCACTACGGGGTGTCTTTTTATTTTGGTTATCATTTATATTGCAGTGCAGAATCTTCTTAATGTGATACAACCCCATCTTGTCTTCCCATTCGGTTATATTTAGACTTAAAATTTTAATGGTTGGTTGGTTGTAGGTGAAGTTTGTGGTTTGTTTTGAGCACTTGGAGGTGCTCAGGACTTTTTGCCGGCTCTGTGTTCATGGATAACTCCTGGTTTTGTGATCAGAGGACCATATGTTGTGCTGGGAATCTAACCCAGTTTGGCCGTGTGCAAGGACAGCAGCTAAGATGCTGTCCTATCTTTCCAGTCCTAGTCTTAAAACATAAGAAATTGTATCTAGCTTGTGTGTGTGTGTTTTTCTTTGAAAGCTAGGTTTGTTAACAAAATGCAAGAATAATTTATATGATACAGTTCTTTTGTGTGGGTTGGTCTTTTTTTTTTTTTTTTTTGGGTTGGTCTTTTTGAAATGCTTTGTTTTTATTTATTTTTGGATTTGGAGCCACACCCCATGGTGTTCAGGGCAAACTCCTGGTTCTCTGCTCATGTATCACTCCAGGTTGTGTGCAAGGGACCATCTGTGGTACTGGGGCTTAGCTGGGTCAGCTGTGTACAGGCAAGATCCTTAAACACTTCTATCTCTCCAGCCCTATCTCTTGTTATTGTGATATACAAATCTTTGAAGCATGCTTTTTTTTTTAAAGCTCTGTTAATCTGAGCAGCAAATGATTGTGTAAAATCATAATAGGATTTTATTTTTCAGTGTAAAGTTACTTAAAATATTTTTAAATGCCTTACATTTTGAATATTTGAATTGAAATTCTGAATACTTAACTTTCTTCATTTTTTCCCTCAGAGCTAAAGATTGTCTAAAAGCCATAATGAAAAGGGTAAATCATAAGGTTCCTCATGTTGCTCTACAGGCGTTAACTGTAAGTCAAAGTCATATTATTATTTGACCCAAAGTTTAAATATGCATCTGTTTCAGTCGGTTAATACCAACATTTGCATATTGGTTTTTTATCTTGAATATAGCTTCTTGGGGCTTGTGTGGCAAACTGCGGAAAGATATTTCATTTAGAAGTATGTTCCCGAGATTTTGCAACAGAAGTACGAGCTGTGATAAAAAACAAGGTAAGTTTAAAAAAAAGAAGAAATTTAAGTAACTAAAAAATAAACTGTTGTCTTAAATATATATTATACTAGCCAACTTTTATTATTTACTTTCGTTTTTAAAACTTTTTTTTTGGGGATTGAGGTTCTGTGCTTTACAGTGCTATTGATCGTTTCCCGTGGTCATGCTTCCAACACCACCCTGGTTACCAGTGTCCCCACCTTCCTCTTCTACTCCTGCCTCTCAACTTTTGAACGACCCTCACCACCACCACCACCACCACCACCACCACCACCACCACCACCACCAAACTCAGCTGTGTGGATCTGTTGTCCCATTAGGTTGCCTTTGGCCCTTTGTTGCTGCCTTGCTGTGTAGCTCTAAGTCCGACATTTGAAAGAGATCATTCTGTATCTATGCTTTTCCTTCTGACCGACTCCACTCAGCATGATATTCTATAGTTCCTTTCATGTTGCTGCAGATTGCTTGATCTTGTTCTTTATTGGAGCTGCATAATATTCCATTGTGTGCGTTTACCACAGCTTTTCCTTAGTTGGGCATTTACATTGTTTTCATATCCTAGCTCGTGTACTTTGTGTGGTGATGAACATAGGTTTGTTTTGAATTAAAATTTTTGTGTTTGAGGGATAGATGCCAAAAGGTATTACTTTGTTTTATGGTTACAAACTTCTGTTTTATTATATATTTTATAAAATCTATAAATTTGATGTGATTTAACTATTTAAAATTATTTTTTTAAATTTAGAACCTCTTTATCTTCTCATTTATATGTCAACTACTGATAACTATTTTAAGCACTTTGCATATCCAGTCTTGCTTAATGCTCTTAACGACTCCAAAAGTTATTCTTTGTTATTTCTATTTTGTAGATGAAGAAATTGAACTTAGTATTAAATTGCCATGGTCTTGCAACTTAGACAGTAAATTTACTGTGGCTCAGATTTTTAAATTTTTATTATTATTATTATTTTTTAATGAAGCACCACGAGATACAGTTAAAGACTTGCAAACTTTCAGGATTACATCTGTTATATAATGATTGAATACCCATCCCTCCACCAGTGCCCATTCTCCACCAACGATGTTTCCAGTATCATTCTTACCCACCCCCACCCTTTCTTGCCCCCCTGCCTTTGTGGCAGGCCCATTCTCTCTGACTCTCTTTCCCTTTGGGTGTTATTAAGGCTCAGATTTTAGTTTAGACTATCCACCATTTTGTAGCACAGCGCGTAGGGCATTTGCCTTGCATGCAGCCAACATGGCTGACCCGAGTTCGATTCCTCCACCCCTCTCGGAGAGCCCGGCAAGCTACCGAGAGTATTTCGCCCGCACGGCAGAGCCTGGCAAGCTACCCGTGACATATTCAATATGCCAAACACAGTAACAACAAGTCTCACGGAGGAGACGTTACTGGGCCTGCTGGAGCAAATCGATGAACAACGGGAGGACGTGACCATTTTGTGCTGATTCTAATAGAGATGTGGAGTGAAGGGCCTTTATTTTAAGGATTTTCACCTTACGGTGGTTGTTATTGATTCTTTTGGGATAAAAACTCAGAAGCATTATTCTCATTCTACTAGCATCAAAAATCACAAAACTTTAGACTAGATGTTGTAAGAAGTAGCACCTAGTCTAGGCAGCACCTAAAAAATCGATCTGATTTTCAGAATAGTGAGAAAATTAAAAAATTGAAAACAGAAGATTTATTTTAGTTAGATTTAGAGACTGTCATGTCACAATTTGTTAGAAACTGTTGATATCTTAATATGTAAACAGACATCGAATCAGATTCTGCTAGGGAGTGCTGAAATTTTCTTGAGATTCTTATAAGCTGAGAATTTTGATAGTTTTGGCTCTTTCGACTAAGTAAAATGTTTACTTAAGCTATAGTTTTCTTTTTTTGTCTTTTCTTTCAAAGGCTCATCCTAAAGTTTGTGAACAACTAAAATCTTTAATGGTGGAGTGGTCAGAAGAATTTCAGAAAGATCCACAGTTCAGTCTAATATCTGCAACTATTAAATCAATGAAAGAAGAAGGAATCACTTTTCCTCCGGCAGGATCTCAGGTAAGAGACTCATTCATCATTTATCCCCAGGGTTGACCCAGAGCTCTTGTTTTTTTTGGTTTTAGGGCCACAGTTGGTGATGCTCAGGACTTGCTCATCGCTCTGCACTCAGGAATTGCTCCTGGCAAGGATTGAGAGACCATATCGGGTACCAGGGATCAAACACACATAGGCAGCATGCAAGGCAAATGCCCTACCCACTGTCACTGTGAGATTACAAAGTTTTTCTATGATTGGGTTTCGGGCATACAAAGTTTCAATACCAGTTCCTTCACCAGTGTCCACTTCCCTCCGCCAGTGTCCCCTCACCTGCAACATCATTTGCCTCCCACCCACCAATCTGCTGCTATAGGAGTCTTTTTTTTTTTTGCTTTTTGGATCACACCTGGTGATTCACAGGGGTTACTCCTGGCTCTGCACTCAGGAATTACTCCTGGCAGTGTGCAGGGGACCATATGGGATGCTGGGAATCGAACCTGGGTCGGCCGCGTGAAAGGCAAACGCCCTACCTGCTGTGCTTTCGCTCCAGCCCCCAAGAGTCTTTTTTTTTTTTTTTTAAAAAATGAGGTTTTGCATTGTGGTTTACAGTACTGCTGCTGATAGGATCTCAGACACACACTTTATCACTTTTCAGCCCCACCACTTCCTCCTGGTTGAATACTTCCCTCCACCACAGATATTTCACCCTCCGTGTCATATCCCCCAGTGCCCTCAAGTGGCGTGTTTGTATCCTTGTACTCTTGGATGGCATGCCTCTTATGTCTAAGCTAAGTACCATGTTTGCTCATGATTTCCTGCCTCTGTTTCACAGTGCCTGGCAAGAACCATGCCTTATATTTGCTAGGCGTTTTAACTATTGGGATTTTCTCTGCCTCTCTGAACTTTGAGAAGGGAGTTGGCCTTAGATAATATGGGCCATGTTCCTCGAACCTTAGAGTCAAGCAGAAGGCAGAGATGTTTGAGAGAGAGTTTATATGCAAGGAACTCATAGTGAATAGTTTTCCAGCATAGGAATTTGTAGTACGATTATAAAGATTTGGAAGGTAACCATATACCGATGAAAAAGTTATAACTGACGAATGGACAAGGGATGGAAAGGCCAGATGCTAGGAGCAAAGTAACTATAGACCGAGATGGTAAAGAGCTAGAATTTCAGGTGCATCTCACAGGTAAGGAGGAGAGAGTGGTCACATTGTGGGAGGAATAACACAGGTACATGCATGGAACTAGAAATGTCAACACCTGCTTTTCTGTTTGTTTGTTTCTCGCCACACCTGGCAATCCTCAGAGTTTACATCTGCCTCTATGCTCGGGGATCACTCCTGGAGAGTGTGGCAGTGGCTGGGGTAGAGGTATTGGGCAGGGGGGATCATGTGGGGTGTGAGGGGTTGAACCCGTGTGGGCTGCCTGCAAGGTAAGTGCCCTGCCCACTGTACTGTATAGACTCAGCCCCAAGGCTTATCTTGTTTTCACTGCCTCTTGTCCTCCACTTTAACATTAGAATAGGGAAAGAGACAAGGAAGAATACAAATTTTATTTTTTTTAAATTGTCACGGTAGACTACAGAGACAAAAAAATAGTCTTTAAAGCTGAGTAGGCCTGAGGTATAAGGTAGAATGTGAGAAGAAAAGTCTTGAGTGATGGAAAGCAAGCTCTTTCCTGTTCTGTCCTTCCTGCATGTCATTCTTTGAAATCTTTGCAACCACTGGTTGATGGTTTAGAGTCTCAGGCATCTCTTGTGTGCTATTCATCTGGAAGGTGACCGTGTCTTGGTCCTCTGGGATGTGTGAAGAGCCATCGGCGTCCTATGGACCACCAGGTCCTCCCTCTTCACTTCAGTCATTATCAGAGCCTCGTTGCTGGCACATCCCCTCTTTTTCTCATTTATTTATTTATTGATTGATTGATTTTTGGGTCACACCCGGCAATGCTCAGGGGTTACTCCTGGCTTTGCACTCAGGAACCACTCCTGGCAGTGCTCGGGGGACCATATGGGATGCTGGGAATCGAACCCGGGTTGTCCGCATGCAAGGCAAACGCCCTACCCGCTGTGCTATTGCTCCAGCCCCCAGCACATCCCCTCTTGCTCCACGCCTGCAGTGTCTCTTACCTGAATAGAACCTCTTGGACCGTTGGCCGCAGAAGGTCCCATCAGGAAAGACCTGTATTTAGACCCAGCTCTGGGTCAGGGACTAAGATGGACTTGTACTATGAGCCAGTTCATGTCCTTCTGTGCGTTCTAACATTTTCTGGAAAATGGTGGTGTTTGGTTTGTTTATTTGAAAATAACTAAAGTCTTTATGAAGCTCTTCACTCATAAATGAGACTCATGAGTTACAGAGGATTTTTTTTTTAATGAGCGTGTGTGAGTGATCATAAAGTAAAGTAAGTAGACCTTGTGTTTTCCTTAAGAGGGCAGTTGTGCTCACTTTGCTCATACATTTACAGACAGCCCCAGCTGCTGCCAAGAACGGGACAGCATCAAACAAAAACAAAGAAGACGAAGATATAGCTAAAGGTAAACGGTTGTGCCCATGCAGTGTAGTGTGTTTAAGCATCCTTGTCAGAACAGTTTATGGAAACAAAAATTATAATGAAGTTGGGGATGCTTTAGTGCTTTACCTCAAATCTAAAAACTCATATGGTAGGACAGATTCGAAAAGCAATTGATGTGATGAATTTGACTTCTAATCCTTGTCAGTAATCTGTATTTAATGTTCTACCTTTGGAGAGAGTACATTTCACCTTTTCTTTAATGCCAGCATTGTGAGTCAAGCAGAGAAATATGTTCACGGCTTGTCCTATATGGAAAACTACCCATATTATAATGTCACAATCTGTTTGCTTTAAAAATAATAGCTGCTGTATATGGCAGACTGTGATAATAAGGAATGAGCAAAACTTTATTTAAAAAAAAGAGTCGTGATTCTCTGTTCCCTCTACCCCCCTAAGAAAGTTAGCTTGTGTTTTGCATTTAACTGTACAATTAAAATCCTTGGTTTATTCTTACTGAATATTACATTGTTTTGTAATATCCTTTTCTACTTTAAATGTAATCAGTATTAATTGTGCCTATCCTGTTTTGCGTTTTGATGTTTCAAACTAGCTATTGAATTGTCACTGCAAGAACAGAAGCAACAGCAGCACACAGAAACAAAATCTCTACATCCACCTTCAGAAATTCAGTTAAATAATAAAGCTGTAAGAAAAGTGAGAGCTTTGTATGATTTTGAAGCTGTTGAGGATAATGAACTCACCTTCAAACACGGTGAAATTATTATTGTTTTGGATGACAGGTATGTTTTCATTTTTAATCTCTGAAATACTTTGATGTTAGTGTTTGTTCGTCCATTCAGAATGTTGGATATCCAGTTATTTATGTATTTAAATTGTAATTGACCCTCTTCCAACCTGAATTATTTTTCTCTAAAATGAACGAATAAGTAATAGGAGTTTATTATTATTTATTGAGTAGAGTAGTATTGTTTCTTATTTATTAAATGAGTAAAGTAATATGGTTTCTTATTATTTATTAAATGAGTAAAGTAGTAAATCTTAGATTAGAGATGTAATAAGAATGTTGATCATTTCAATTGGGAAACATGTAAATACTGAGTTATCTGAGTGCATTTGCCTTCAGAATTGTGCATATGTAAAGTATTGGCAGAAACACTATAAGAAGAACTGTTGCTGTGTTGCCTATGATTGGGCTGGAGCAGTAGCACAGCGGGTAGGGCATTTGCCTTGCACGTGGCCAACCCAGGTTCAATTCCTCAGTCCCTCTCGGAGAGCCTGGCAAGCTATCTTTGAGTATCCCGCCTGCACAGTAGAGCCTGGCAAGCTCCCCGTGGCATATTTGATATACCAAAAACAGAAACAATAAGTCTCACAATGGAGACATTACTGATGCCCGCTCGAGCTAATCAACGAACAGTGGGAGAACAGTGCAGTACAGTACAATGCCTTTGATTTGAGCAGCTGAGAGCCACGCTTGGCTCCTCCCCAGCTCTTAACTGCTTCTGTGCCCCCACAAGGACTGCCACAATCATTTGAACTTGTCATGAAATCTGTCTATATTGGGCTCAGTTCTGCCCCCTGCTTTAAAAGATATTGGTGAAATTTACATGAGCTAGACTTAACTGCTTGTTACTAAGAACAGAGATTGCAGATATATTTGGTACCATTATAAATAACTTATTAGTGCTGCATTAGTGTCCTTTTGAACATGTAGGTGGTTCAGTCCATGGCACTGCCTGGGTGATCCCTGAGTACAGAATCAGGAGTAAACCCGGTCTTCTGCTGGGTATTCACCCTCCCCTCCAACCCCCTCTAAAAAGGGTTAATACAAAAATGGTTGTTTTCTGCAGCAAATATTTGTTGAGAAAAAGTAGGTTCTGCTAATGTTACAAATTGAAGGGGCGAGGCTGCAAGCCTGTTGTATGTACATGCTTCACATTACGAGGGTCCTGGGTTTGATCCTCGGTATTAAGTAAAGACATGACTGTTCTGACCTCAAAAAAGGTTAAAGTAAGAGTGTTTACTTTATTCTACAGATCTTTGTATGAAATGCAGATTGTAAGTATCACGAGAGAGGGAAAGCTGGGGGCCTGGGAGAGAATAGATCACCATCTGGTGTGGGCGTCTGGGAACAGTCTTGCCTAGGGTGTCCATTTCAGGTTAAATTTGATTTGGATGGGGCAGGAAAGGTTTTTCAGGAAATTGAGACTTGGGCTGATGGGGTCGAGTGTGGTCCTGGGTTCCCTCCCTGGCATTCCATGGACCCCTGGTTACCTGCTAGATAAGGCCCGGGTAGCTCCTGTGCACTGTGTTCACATATATATATTTTGATTTTTGGGTCACACCCGGTGATGCACAGGGTTTACTCCTGGCTCTGCACTCAGGAATTACCCCTGGTGGTGCTCAGGGGACCATATGGGATGCTGGGAATCGAACCAGGGTTGACTGTGTGCAAGGCAAACACCCTCCCTGTTGTGCTATTGCTCCAGCCCCCACTTAGATTTCTTAAAGGTGTTTTTTTTTTGTGTGTTTTTTTTGTTTTAAAATAATCCTTTGGTGTGGAACAGGTGACCCCTAAAGGGAAAGTAAATGAAAATCAAGGTGACAAGGAGATGTGGACCCTGATAACTGACAGCTCATAATGTCAGGCTGCTGAAGGGGGTTTTAATGAGAATATTTACAAAGGAACTGGAGTTTATGCTTTTGACTGTCACCCGCAACTCTAACACATTAAAAGGGTGTGTAAAATAAACAGGAGCAAAGCCACAAAAGGAGTGCCTTTTGCTGTGAGATTCTGAGCACTTCTAAAAGGAAATTAATCAGAAAATTGTTCCAGGTGGCGGGGGTGGGGCGGTGCTGGGTGAGGGCTTGGTGATTGCACAACAGGGTGGAGCTTTTGCTTTGCCTGCAGGATGCCCAGGTTCAGTCCCTCAGCGTTGCATGTGCCCCCGAACATAGAACCAGAAGTAGCCCCAGAACACGGCAGGGTGTGGCCCCAACCCTAAGCAGGGGGAAAAGTGTCTAAAATAGATTGCTGCCCAACAAGGTAGAGTTCTCACCCATGGCACAGGTCCTCCACCCCCTGTCTGCGTGGGTGTGCTCCAATCTTCTTTGGGGTGTGATAACTTAATTTTCCTCTGACTTTTCTTTTGTGACTATTGTGAATTCTTGATGTCATTTGGTATATGTGTGGCTTTACATGTAGTAGAGTCTGCTGACTTGCCGCCAGAAAAGATTACATTATTGCACTGCACATGTCTCAGTGATGTCTAATTGAAGCACAAAGTCATTAAATAGCTTAGATTGATACAGAACTATTTTCAGCGGTGGTCTATATCCTATGGAAATGAAAAGTGCTTCAGTGAAAATTTCACATACCGGGAGCTGGAGAGATAGTGTAGGGGTTAAGGAGAGTGTGCTTGGCGCAGGGCTAACCCTGTGTCTTAATTCTTGTAATTCATGCTTAACCGGATGTCACTATCCCCTCTTTACTTGGCTTTCAGAAATGTTAACTCAATCATCCATTTGCGGAAGGTAAAAAGTTCATGTCTCTTAGACCCACATTAGTTTTCACTCAGCTGGCTTTCGTTCGTACTATAAAAAGCCCCAGATATAAACACTGCATTAAAAAAAAAATTTCTTAATTATCAAACGGCTTGTGAAGACTCACCATGCCAGATTACCTTAATTTAGAAATTTTAAATCGACCAACATTTCGTGCAATTACTTGGTGACAGCGGAGGGACTGTCAGAGCCTAATCAGTCCTGGAAAGGTATCGTCGTGCCCTGGGGGTGACAGGTCATGGTTTTGTTTGCGCTTCGATTTGATCAAGGAGTTGCAGCAGTGATTGGAGGGAGAATTACACACTTGATTAGGACCACTAACTGTAGTTGGATGTAACTGTGTCTCTTTTATTTTGTTCTGTCTATTTCACAGTGCTAGGGGGTAGAGGCCAGGGCTCACATGTGGAAGACTGTGCGTGACTTCTGCCGTGCAGCCCCAGACCACTGAAATCGTTGCTAGGTTCTAATAAAACCCATGTATCCATTTCACAGGGTTCTGTTTTTATATGAACATTCCTTTGAGTTCTGCCTTCCTTGGTGAAATGGAAACTAACTTTAATGTATGTGTGTAAGAGGACCAGAATTTCTCGTTCCGTGTAGATGCCAGCAGCTACAATGTCTTGGAAGTGTCAGTACAGAGATTAGTTTCTGGGTTTCATAATTTGGATAATAGATAATTTTATATTTTTGGTACTTGTAAAGCCGTATGATATTTCAGAATCACAGAAGTGGATTCAGATAATAAAATTCCTCTTTAAGGCTGAGATTTAATCCCCAGCACCACAAAAACCAGACACCAAAGAAATTCATCTTTAATTATGCCTGCTCACCAAGTAAAATGTCTGGAAAAGATTAGACAAAAATTATAATTATTTTTTAACTTTATGATTGTCCTTGTAGAAAATCCAAGAGAATAATGGACAAACATAGCTGTTGATAAGAGTTTAATCAAGATTGTTGGATACAGGTTCAAAATACAGTAATAAACTCTAATCAGATTTTTTAGAAATGTAATTTCAAAAAGGTATCATTCTCACTGGTAGCAAGAATTATAAATGGTCCCCAAATTACCAGGCACTACAAAAAATTTTAAAGTTCTTTTAAATATATAAAGGAAAAGAAATCGATGAATAGAGAAATACCCTATTCATGATAAAGAAATCTTGGTAATATAAACATTTGGTGTTTTTTTTTTAGTATTATTGCATAAACTTTGTGCATTTCTAATTAATGTCAAAAAAGGGCTTTTTAGTTTTGAAGCCGTACCATACCACAGAGCGCCCAGGAGCTGGTCCTGCTTTGTACTCAAGTGTCATTCCTGACAGTCAAACCAGGGTTGACCTTAAATCCTGAACTGTCTCACCAAACCTCCCACAGGACTTTTTTTCCGAAACCGAAGAACCTTAAGATAAATTGTAATATTAATGTGGGGACATCATCTTCCAGGTATTATGACACATTAGCAAACTGAAGTAAATAAGTACTTAGCCAGAAAAGGCTTATGAACAGGTAGCAGCTTGCTGTTTGAAAGATAGGCCATCATAAATTCATAGAAAAATTAATATACAGGGCTGGAGAGAAATTTCAGTGGATAAGGCACTTTCCTCACTTGCAGCTGACCTGGGTTCAATCCCCAGCTTCACATAGACTCTCCTGAGCCCTGTGGGGGCGTGATTCCTGAGTGCAGAGTCAGGGGTCAGCCCTGAGCACAGCTTCACACCTTCCTTAACCCCTGTGTAATGCTCTGGTCCACAGATCTCCCTCCTCCCTCCCTTCCTTCCTCCCTCTCCTCCCTCCCCCCTTCTTTCTTTTTTGATGTTTAGCAGAAAGGATAGATTGCTAAATTTGATAACTTGAGGAGGACAAAGAATAAAACAAACCATAAGCATACGTTAAAAGACAAGGACGGAATTTTGTCTAAACGGTACAGGGGATAAGACAATTTCTTTGCACGCAGCTTACTGTGGCCCTCAAATGGATCAGATAAAGTCAGATTTTTTTTTTTTAAAAAGGCACGTGCCCATCTAAGAATAGGTACATGTATGGTATAGAAATCAGTGACTATATAGAGAATATAAAGAACTATAGTTCTGTGAAAAAAGCAAATGATGCAGTGGAAAAATACCCACTAGATATTTGAATAGTATAGAAAACAGTGACTATATAGAATATAAAAAGAACTCTTATAGTTTTGTGAGGGGGGGAGGGAGCTAAGAACCCCGTGGAAACAGAAAAATGGATATCAACATGAGTAAGCATTTTCTAGAAGATGCGGTTGGAGTGGCCCGCAGACTCATGGATGCTTGGGAAATGCAAATGAGCGCAGCAGTGAGATACGATTTCTCTTGGTAATCATATTGCTTGGACAGTTAGCAGAGAGAACATGGCTTTCTCGCTTGCTGCTAAAGGGAAGGAGGATGATGCATTGCTATATCCGCTTTAGGGAACATTTGGCATTGTGAGAAGTTTAAAAATACACGGGCAGGAAGATTGCCACACAAACTTTATGTCACTTTATGTGGCACAGAAGGGTAGATGCTGGGTTGTTTATTATAGGGTGGATTTCAGTGTTACGTGCTTTGAAGCCAGGGTCAAATAGGAACAATTACTAATTGGTTTTAAACTTGACATGGGTGCCTTTATGTTGCTTTTCTCTATCTGTCACTAAATTCAAGAACAACGATTGCTTTTTTTTCTGCTTTGGACGGTGCCTCGGCAGCCATGCTCAGGACTGCCAATGGCTGAACTTGGTAGGGTAGGGAGGTTCATGGGGTGCCATGGTCTGAACCCAGGTCCATGTATGTGCTCCAGCGTTTGGACTTGCTCCCTGGACCAAGAAGAACTTTGTTGTTTGTTTGTTTTTACTTGGGGGCCACATTCAGTGGTGCTCATGACTTCCTCCTGGCTCTGTGCTCAAGACTCGCTCCTCATGGTGCTCTGGGCACCACATGGGGTGTTGGGGATCGGACGTAGGTCAGCCACACGCAAGGCTGCCCCTGTCCTATCTCTCCGGCCTGAGTCGAACTATTTTTAATTAAAGTTGGATGTGAATTTATTCTCTTAAGTAGCCTAAATTTAAATTTTATTTCTGTGGACATCAATGTACTAAAATACAGAGGAACAAATGACAATTTTGCACTGTATTTTCAGTGATGCCAATTGGTGGAAAGGAGAAAATCACAGAGGAATAGGACTCTTCCCATCTAATTTTGTTACAACTAATTTAAACACAGAGTCTGAGGCAGGTAAGTCAAATCTTAGGGAATATAAAGCTATTATCTAAGTTTTGTTCTACTTAAATTTTATGGTTTAATTTTAAATATAAAGTTGATTGGCTTTTGATTCTTGTGTTAAGTGGTTTACTTATAGACAATACAGTTTCACCTACGTTTTAGGGAATTGAGGGTTAACATTGATAACCATGTTCTCCAGGAATTATTTCCTCATATCTTAGATCCTTTGAGAATTAGTTACGTATGTTATGAGAGAACGTATGTGGCCATTCAGTCTAGTTTTATAGCATCAGTGGCAGCCTCTGTCTGTTCAGTCAAAAAATATTGGTTTTATTTAAGCATAAGTGGTGTGGGGAGGCCTCATTGACGGAGTCTGAGTGTGATTACAGGGGTTAGATGTACCTCAGGGGCCAGAGTGATTAGTACATAGGTAGGGCATTTGCCTTGCATGCAGCTGACATGGGTTCAATCCCTGGCACCCCATATAGTTCCTTGAGCCTGCCAGGAGTGATCCCTGAGCACTTTAAGCACCACCGGATACGGCCCCAAAACAAAACAAAATATCCTTTAGTTTTCAGACTCACCCTTAGATGGCCCTACGGAACTTGAGACTACAGTAACCAAATAAAAACTAGGCCCCTGTTTGATCGTTTAAGCTCAGGTGCGCAGGTTCTTAGCTGCGGAGGGCCATGCCGAGTGCTGCCATTTATCACCCAGGCCGTGAGAATGGGGAAGCTAATCGGAGAGGACGGATGGTTTCAAGGAAAGTAGCTCTCGGTGTCTGAACACTTGTTTATCGGCTTGCGGCTCTGTCCTCTTCATGCACAGTTTTACCGAACCCTCAGGATTCTAATAACCATTCTTCCTTCCTTTTGCTGATAAGCACATCGAGGTTGAGAGGTTGAATGGCCAGCAGGTGAGAGAACCAAGATTCGGGAGTTATTGAGCCCCTAGAATGACCTTCTATTTACTCACTGGGGGCCAGAACTGTGCCAGTCCTTACCAGTTGTATCGGGAAAAACTGGAAAGTGCTCTATTGTGTGTATAGCATCTTTGTATGGATACAGTGGTACATTCAGGGAAAATAATATTAAGAGAGGTGGATACTCATCTTTCCCACAATTTGTAATTTTTTCCTTCTATGTAGAGTAAAAATATACTCCTTTTTCTTTCCTTTTTTTTCTTGCATGGAGTCTGACTATGTAGGTAGGGAAATTGTAGATTCCGTTATTGGGGCCCCACGGAAGTGATTGGGCCCTGGTGGTAATCACGCCCACTGGTGCTGCTGGTACCCCACAGCCACCAGAGTCACATTCCTATGTACTCGGGGAGTGACCACAGTGCTGGGAATCATCCCGGGGTCATCCCTGGAAGGCCTGTGATTTGCCACTTGAAGTGTATCACTGGCCCTTGGTGATACCGTTTTTCTGGCAGGAGATCCTACAGAATGATTTCCCCCTTATAGAGACTGGAAAGGTTGAGTGGCAGTTTTTAAAGTACAAGGTACTGTGTATTTTCTTAATGTGTCATGCTGATTTCTGCTCTTTAGGACGCATCTGCAAGTCAGCCTGATATTTGAGGACAGACTAAGAGTTGGGCCTTTGCTTAGGGCCCCCAGACAGTCCGTTGGCACGTGCCTTGTAAGCCCGAGGCTTGTGAGGCCCCGAGCTCAGGGCCTTCATTGTCTCCTATGCATGAGAGTGCGCTCCCACAGGCTCGAGTACGTGACTCTAGTGCTCCCATGGAGAGTGTTCCCAGTGCTCTGCTGATGTGTAAATATTAGAACTGCCCCTGCACATCACAGTAGTAACCAAGGGGAGGGAGGAGAATTAGAAAAATCTTCTTGTTTTGTGAGTCTTTTTAAAAGTTGTAATATTTTTTCAGGGGCTGGAGCAATCACACAGCGGGTAGGGCATTTGCCTTGCACGCAGCAGACCTGGATTCGGTTCCTCCGCCCCTCTCAGAGAGCCCGGCAAGCTACCGAGAGTATCTTGCCCGCATGCAAAGCCTGCAAGCTCCCCGTGCATGTTCGATATGCCAAACACAGTAACAACAAGTCTCACAATGGAGACGTTACTGGTGCCCGTTTGAGCAAATTGATGAACAATGGGAGGACAGTGCTACAATATTTTTTCAGGAGTGGGGCTTTGGGAGGCGCCTGAGGGGTGCTCAGAGGGCAATTATCAACCTGCCAACCTGAGTGGTTTAATGCTGCACGCTGCAATAATAGGAGTAACAAACAACCCCAGTGGTGCCAAGGGCTTCCGGAGCTACACTGGGTGGTGGTGGTGTGGGGCACACGGTGTCAGGGGTTGAACTGGGGTAAACTGCACCCCTGTACATAGTTTTATTGTAGGGATATTTTGGGGGGATGGGTGGGGGCAATACTCAGCATTGCGCAGGGCTTATTCCTGGCTCTGCCTTTAAAGATCATTCCAGGAGTTCCTTGTGGTAGGGGGACACTCTATGTGGCACATGGGATAAACGTGGATCCGCTGTTAGACCAAGGACTCGAGCCCTTAAACTCTTCCTCCAGCCCTTTTATTGTAGTTTTGATCAAAATTTGCCTCTTTTTTGAGGGCAGGTGGGGGGGTGGGAGGACAGATACCAAAACACTAACTTTTGGTAGGCCAAATACCTAGCAGTGCACAGGGCTTCCTCCTGGCTCTGTTAGGGATCACTCCCGGTGGAGCTCGGGGAATCAGTTGTGGTGCTGGGGATCGAACCAGGGTCGGCTATATGCAAGACAAGCTCTTTAACCCCGGTACGATCTCTGGGGCCCCAAACTTTGCTTATTAAAATCTAGTCTATTAGAGCAGTACTCTAGTGAGCATGTAGTTTTCTGAATGTGTATATTTGTGAATTATTTTCAACCTCCTTATGAAAGGCTTTATTTTATGTTTCATCTGTTGTCAGAGGTAGGTTGAAATCAAGTATTTCTTTGTTGTTCATTTGAATAAATGTCTATTTTTATAGCTAGAAAAGAACAATAAAGGAGCTGACATTCAATTTTGATTATTTTTGTGTTTTTTTCTTTTTGGGAGCTACACCCAGCAATGCTCAGGACGTACTTCTGGTACTGTGCTCAGTGATCACTCCTGGTTAGCTCGGGGGACTATAGGGTATCCTAGGGATTGAATCCAGGTCACCTGATTGCTAGGCAAGTACTATCCACTCTGGCCCAGTAGATTTACTTTTGAATGAGCTAAATAGATAATACTCTCACTGTTCTGCATTTGGTTACTGTAAAGAGATAACAGGTTTTCAGAAAATGCTCGAACTGACACTTCCGATTAGTATTGTTTGCTTGTTCTGCTAGAATATTGTTACTCAAAATGGGGTCCCCTGGGGGATAAAGGAATGATAGCGGAGGTGTGTATGTTGGAGGACTTCTTGGTAACCTTAGATGCAAGTGTGTGTGTGGGGTGGGGGGCTGCTTTCTGTTAATTCATTTAAACTTCCAGAGGGGTTCTGAATAATTCTTTTTCTTCTTTTTCTTTAAAAGGACCAGTAGGCTAAATAAGTTTGGGAATCCTTGACACTAGATTACTATTTTTTTTTTATGTTACTCTTTGGCATATTTCTAATGCCTTGAACAATGCCTGGCAGATAGTAAGGGCTCAGTAAATACTTGTGACATGAATGGGTGTCCTTATGCAGTTGCTAATGTATGTTGATTTTGAAATGTGATGACACCTTTAATTTTTTCCTTAGAGATAATTATTGACTACATATGATGACTAAATACCCAAATAAATTCTGATGAATTTAATTTACTTTGTTTTCATAGCAGCTCTGGAAAAATTGAATGTAATTGATGATGATGTGGAGGAAATGAAGAAATCTGAGCCTGAGCCTGTTTATATAGATGAGGTATGCCTTTGTTTACCTTATTGTGTTTATTATTGAAGCTTTTTTTTTCCTTCTCAATGCCAGGGATCTCAGGGCCTTCAGGGATTCAAGGCATAAACTACTACTGAGGCATCCTACATCCCTGGATCTTCAAAACTTTTTTTTTAAAATTGTGTTTGTGTTTTTGGGCTACGCTCAGCAGTGCTCAGGACTTACTCTTATCTCTGCACTCAGGGGTCACTTCTGGTGGGCTCAAGCAACCATATGTGGTACTGGAGATTGGACCCCAGTTGACCATATACAAAACAAATACCCCCACCTACTATCTTTCCCCACTTTAAGCTTCTTTAAATATATTTTCCTTGAAACTCCTTAGCAAGGGTAATTTTTATAGTCATTGAAATGGAAAATCTTATTTATCAGGTGTCCCTTTGCTTTTTAGGATAAGATGGATAGAACCCTACAGGTACTCCAAAGTATAGATCCAACAGATTCGAAACCAGATTCACAAGACCTCTTGGACTTAGAAGGTACTTGGTGCACATCGGGGGGTTACTTTACATTATTTACTAGTTAACTGCTTAAGATTCTTAAATTTCCTCTGCCAGTGTTTGCTTCTAGAGATTAGAAATTTCTAGTGGGAAACTGTATAATAAACCAGTAAACCATTAGTTGGAAGGTGCTATATGAATGCTGTCTTGTTCAAGGAGGAAGGCTGCGATAGGGCTGAAAGGGCTGGACAGGTGGCTGGCATGCACAGGTCCTGGGTTCGAAGATCAGCACTGGGGCCTGATCCTGAAAGTAGTCCACCTAGCAAAGTATTGGCTAAGTATTGCCAAAAGGAACCCACAGGGGTCCCCTCTCAAAACTAAACCAAACCAAAACAAAACTAAACAAAAAAAAATGAAGAAGAATGTCTTCATATTCCTGTAGTAAGCCCACAAGTGAAACTGGTTGGAGAAATCTACAGTCTCCAAACAAAAGAAAAAATAATAGCTTAAGCATATTAACATGTATCAGAAAGTTTAGAAATTCTCAGTTATTTTAATTCTCTAGTATCATGATTCTAAGGCCAAAATGATACATGATTTGTGTGAATTTTGTAATGTAGTCTTATTTCTTTATAGTCCTCCAGAAAATTTAAACAACTAAATGTTCTATGCCTTTTTTTTGTCCTTTGGGAGAAAAAAAAAAACTCTATGACAAAAGGGCATTCTTTTTAAATCTTCTCATAGAAGAAAGCCAGGTTATGAGATAGGATATTATGCTCTTTATTTTTACCAGTGTTTATATTTGGAAATACAGTGTTTAATTTTAAAATAGTTTAAAGAAATGAAAAAATGTGTATAGCCTGCCCAAAATTACATATGCACTGTGTGTAACTTCAGTTAATGTGATTTAGCCAATAATTTCCTGGATTATTTTTTTCAATTTTATTGAGTCATCAGGTTTCACACTTCTGTGAATGATAGAATTTCATGCATGTAAAATTCTGACACCATACCCACCACCAGAATGTTCACTGCCCTTCACCAGTGTCCCAGGGTCCAGCTATTTTTAAGACTTCGGGATATCTACAAATCCCAGTTAGTAAACTTAGTAGTTCCAGAGAACATGTTAGGATTTCTATTTTGAGTTTGATTTTGCCTTTGGTATTAATGTTGATGCAGCATTGAGATTTTTTTTTCCTAGCAGAAGCTTAATTTTTGGTGTACTGCATTTTGGTGGGTTAATGCATAAAAATTGTCGAATGTCATTTTTTACTTATAAGCGTCAAGATTTAAAACTGCTTTTGTATTTACAGATATCTGCCAACAGATGGGTCCAATGATAGATGAGAAACTTGAAGAAATTGATAGGTGAGATTCTGTGTGTAGGGAATAACAAGTATAGTTTGTCTTAACTTGCTAGGCAGAACTTGAAGGAGATTTTGTGGAATGGCTGAGTCTGTTAAAATTGTTTTTATTAGTTTCCAAAACTCTTATAAATCCAATAGTAAGATAATACTTTTTATTTTTGGCAGCCATCTTTTAATGGTAGTATATTAGTAAACCTAGAATCCTAAGCTCTCCTGATTAGACTGGCAGTTTTCTTTTTTTTTTTTTTTAATTAATTAATTTATTTATTGAATCACCATGGGAAAGGTTACAAAGCTTTCAGGTTTAGGTCTCAGTCATGCAAATATCAAGCACATTTCCCTTTACCAAAACTTATTTTTTACCATGAAGAACCCCAAAAAACCCCACCCCCCACCCCTCCCAGTCCCTGTGGGGCAGATGAATTCTAGTTAACACTCTATCTGCTTTGATTAGATTCATTGTTTCAATAAAAGATTCACCACTATTATTTAGAGTTTACCCCCCCCCCCCCCCCCCGAATCAGACATGCTGACAAAGCATTGTGAAGTGATTTGCTTTCTACAGCTGGGTTCAAGAATTATATGTTGGTTTTGGATTTCTGCTATTTTACTTATTGACCCTGGAAGTATTTCTACTGAAAGTCAGATAGTTAAGAAATTGGTTTCTGTGCTCTGGAGTCGTGGCCGTGCTGGAGAGCCGCTAGTGGGGGGCAACTGGTGGCCTCGGTAGGGCGTGAAGGGCGGACCGAAACGCCCCCCTTCCCATGAGGTTTTAGTCGCCCCCAGTCCCCTGGCTCATACCTGCTGTCCACAAGGCTCCCATGTGGCCGCCATCTTTCTTTCCAGAGAGGAGAAGGCGACTGGGGCAACACCCTTTCCCCTCCGGACAGACCTGATGGCCTGGATTAACGCATAGTCCGTTCACTTTTCTGTTCCAAGCTGCCGGGTTCTGCATTAAGTCCTTGTGCTTCTGGGGCCGTGGCCATGCTGGAGAGCCGCTCACGGGGGGCAACTGGTGACCTTGGTAGGGCGTGAAGGACGGACCGGAACACCCCCCTTCCCATGAGGTTTTAGTCGCCCCCACATCCCCGGCTCATACCTGCTGTCCACAAGGCTCCCATGCGGCCGCCATCTTTCTTTCCAGAGAGGAGAAGGCGACTGGGGCAACACCCTTTAACACCCTTTCCCCTCCGGACAGACCTGATGGCCTGGATTAACGCATAGTCCGTTCACTTTTCTGCTCCAAGCTGCTGGGTTCTGCATTAAGTCCTTGTGCTTCTGGGGCCGTGGCCATGCTGGAGAGCCGCTCACGGGGGGCAACTGGTGACCTCGGTAGGGCGTGAAGGACGGACCAGAACGCCCCCCTTCCCATGAGGTTTTAGTCGCCCCCACACCCCCGGCTCATACCTGCTGTCCACAAGGCTCCCATGTGGCCGCCATCTTTCTTTCCAGAGGGAGGAGGGCGGAAGGGACCAACACCCTTTCCCCTCCGGGCAGACATGATGGCCTGGATTAACGCATAGTCCTTTCACTTTTCTGGCAGTTTTCTTTGTTTCTTGTGCTAGAATGGAGGGGATAATGAGTAATGTGAAATAAAGTTGAATAGAGGCCAGAACACAAAATGTGAACAGGAAACTTACACAAGTTTACTTACGTGAGGAGAAAGTAGTCCTTACAACGTTTTGGGGAGTGGAGAGTTTGGGGAGTGGGAGTGGTGACTTGGGCTATACCTCGCGGTGCTCAGGACTTACTGCACTCAGGCATCATTCATGGTGGACTTGGGGGACCGTATGGGATGTTGGGTTGGCCGCATGCAAGGCAATTACCCTACCCACTTCACTATCTCTTCGATCCTGAGTTCTTATAACATTTTAAGAAAGCCTATGCCCACAAATTTTCTTTTGTTTTCTTCGTTGTAATTTCTCTGATTTTAAATTTTTATTATTTCAGTGGCCCTGCTGCCTTATTCTCAGCCCTGGCGTGGACTCACCAGCCCAGTAGGCCAGATTTCACTGGGATTGACCCAGGTCCCATGCATGCCACTTAAGAACCTTGCCCCACAAGCCACCTCTGGCACCATATAATCTCATTAATGGACATGATCCAGAGATTCAATATAAATCTCTCGGAAGAGAGCACAGAGTGATACACCATAGACAATTAGGACGCCAGAGGCAGGTGGGTGAGGCCCTTCCCTGCCCCAATAGAGCAAGTCCCGGGAGCCGAAAACCTCCAGAATTCAACTGCCTTCATGCTCACGGCCGCTCTCCACACACCTGGGCGAGCCTCACCCAGGAATGAATCTACTCCTGGACATCTCATACTTTACGTCACTGATATCCCAAGAGTAGTGCACCACATTTGATGGGGTTTAAAGTAGAAGGCAACCAATCTTAGGGGGAGATATCTATCTATCTATCTATCTATCTATCTATCTATCTATCTATCTATCTCCCCCTAAGATTGGGGGATATATATTTATTATATATATTATATATAAATATTGTATATATTTATAAGATATATATATATAAGCACACATGGCTCAATCTTTAACAGCATGTTACTAATGTCTTATAGAGGGCTTAATGGCTCCTGGGTGAAATACAACAATCATCACACACTTTCCTCAAAGAAACCTTTTTGTCACATTTTTAGTGGATTATTCACAGCAAGCAATACAAGATAAATTATTTCAGTTCTGCCTTGGGGGTTGGGTTTTGGGATGAAATATGGTGGTGGGAAGGTGTAATGGTGATGGGATTGTTGTTCGAATATTAAATGTAATCAAATATTGTGAACAACTTTATAAAACTAAAATGAAAATATGTATATATTTGGGGGGGAGAGAGAGAGAGAGAGAAAGAAAGAAAGAAAGAAAGAAACCTTTCTCCAAACCCCCAATAAATTGTTTTGTTTTTTTTTTCCTCCATTTTTTTTTCATTTTTTATAATTTTATTTATTGAATCGTCATGGGAGCAGTTGCAGAGCTTTCGGGTCTAAGTCTCAGTCATAAAATGAAACTCCTGTACCTTCACCAGTGCCCATTCTCCACCTCCAACAACCCTAGTATACCCCCATCCCACACCCTCCCCCTACCAGTGGGGCAGATGATTTCCACATTAATCTCTCTCTACTTTGATCACATTCAATATCTTGATACCAGACCCACCATTATTATTTGAGATTTTACCCCAACACTCAGATCTGCTGAAAAGGCAACAGTAGACAATTTGTTTTCTTTTGCTGGTTATGAATAACACATGATGTCACATGTCTGCAGTAGTGGCCGCGCGATTTTGAAATTCCGAAATTTTAACACTTAAATCTGGAGGGATTTCTGCCAAAACCTGCTGGGTTCCAAGATTTGTTGCTGAGTCTCTGGGACCATGTTCGTTAAGCAGCTTGATCAGGAGCCTTCTAGAAAGGCCTTTCATGGGCGGCGACTCGGGGTCTTGTTGGGATGGGGAGGAAAAGGCCGGCTCCACCCCCAACCCATGAGGCCCTGCGTGTCTCGTCACTGCAGACCCAAACCTGACTGTCCAATGGCCTCTGGAGGATGGTGGCCACCGAGCCGCCGAGGGGGAACAGGCTTAGAAAGACCTTTTCCCCCGGGATATCCCTCCTCCATTTTTTTAAAATCTGGTTTTGCTATTCCTTAACAGTAACAACACTGAAGAATAGACACTCGGGAGTTTGAGCTTTTAATTTTGCCTTCTTCTCTTACTGTTCAGCGATTTCGGGAGCAAAGGGAGAAGCCTTAGTGAGTCAAAGGCAAAGGCTTTGAGTTCTAAACCACCTCTGTTTAGCCCCTGCCTTTTGAAGCTGTGGAATTCAGCACAAGGAAAAACAGAAACTGTTTACCTCTCTGCCTTTAACAGAGAAGGGGAGTGGCAATTAGACCTTTCTTTTTGCAGTTGGTTACAAGGGCCTCTTGGCACTGGAGAAATGGTACGGTGGGTAAGGCGTTTGCCTTGCACGTGGTCAACCTGGGTTCAATCCCTGGCATCTCATCTGATCCTCCAAACCCCCACCAGGAGTGATCCCTGAGAGCACAGCCCGGTGTGCCCTGCCCCTCCAAAAAGGATTTTTAAAAAAATAATTTATTGAATCACCGTGAGAGCAGTTACAAAGCTTTCAGGTTTAAGTCTCGGCCTTACAGTGATGAAACACCCGTCCCGTCACCAGTGCACATTTTCCACTACCAAAAACCCCAGTATACACCCTTCCTCACACCCTCCCCCTACCTGTGTGGCAGATGATTTCCACATTACTCTCTCTCTATTTTGATTACATTCAATATTTTGACACCAGACCCACCATTATTATTTGGGATTTTACCCCAACACTCAGATCTGCTGAAAAGGGGCAACATTAGACAATTTGTTTCATATTGCTGATTAGGAATAGTATATGATATCATCGTTGTGCGATTTTGGAATTCTGAAATTTTAATAATTAAATCTGGAGGGATTTCCGCCAAAAGCTGCTGGGTTTCGAGATTTGTTTCTGAGTTTCTGGGATCATGGCCCTTAAGCAGCTTGATCAGTAGCCAGAGGGCCTGTTTGTTGGCGGTGACTCGAGGTCTCCTTGGGGCAGGGGAGGAAAGAGTCAGCTCCACTCCCATCCCATGAGGCCCCACATATTTTGTCACTTTGGGCCCCTACCTGACTGTCCATTGGCCTCTGGAAGATGGTGGCCATCGAGCCTCCAGGGGGAAACAGCAGAGGGACAGCACCTTTTTCCACCTGGGGTGGCCCGGGGCTGGTAACCTAATACGAAGTCCGGATGCATTTCTGCCAAAAGCCGCTGGGTTCCGAGATTTGTTTCTGAGTCTCTGAGATCATGGCTTAAGCAGCTTAATCAGTAGTCAGAGTGCCTATTTGTGGGCAGCAACTCCAAAAAGGATTTTTAAAAATAAGTTTTTGAGTTTTCTACAGAAATGAAAAATTCCTTTACTATTAATGAAATAATGGTGGTATTGTCAGCATATATATTGGA